AATCATTAATCCATTGTACTAACTGTATAAGTCAAACGGAAGTACACTATCAAGACATCTTATTTAAATTAATGATTGGTGCTGAAATTTAAACAGTTCTTGAAGACCAATAAGTAACATTCGGATCAACTACAAGATATTTGTAGCTTCGAAAACGGTTGTACCATAGAATAGTGTGAATTTTATCATTAATTAGATCATTCACTAGGTACCTAGGTGATTGCTGATAATACACGGTTGCCCAAATCGAAGTAGGTGGAGTAGGATTTGAACTTATGACGGACACCTTAACTACTAAACCACCATTCCAATTCAAGATGCTTAGCAATAGTAGTAACTATACTAGTCAGGCTGGTTTAATAAAGAAACAGTTCTAAACGTCTGACACAATTAAATATACTGTAAATTCTCCAAGTATTGAATTTATAATATTACTAATACAAATGTAATTGAATAGAATTTTGTTCGGTTATTTCAAATGATACAATCGATTTAGAAAGTTACTGGTGGTCAGAATAAAAAACATTGATCTTGTTAAATCTTAGTATGAGTTTTTATTACCAGTCGAATTAACTTCTACTAGTGTAAGGATGAAATTTTGTAAAGTAAGCAAAACAAATGTGATAGTAACATATTTCCATTTGATGTAACTAGATATATACATAAATATGGAAAATTTTGACAGTATACGAAATCCACTTGTACATCACGCAATTATGTAAAAACTGATAAAGCTTTTAAGATATATGCCTTAATATAACCAGTAAAACAGATATCATAAATTAGTTTGCCTAATATTGCTATAAATTAAAACGACTCCAATTTTCCCATTTATACATCATTTGTTTATGTACATCATTTCAAGGGGAAAAAATCAAGTTACCTCTTTTCTGGTTATGACACTTCATTATTGTTTATAGTGTGTTAACATTCTTTATTGTACCACGTTTTCTTCTTCTTTCGATTTGTACGACACTAATAATCACATATAAATTAGGAAAGAAACATCTACTTACAACTGGAAATTTCTTTCCTGTTGTCCAATAAATATTTCTTATATTAACTTGGAAAGTTGAGGTGGATAAACGAGGAGAATAGATTCATGTCAGGAAATATATGTATATACACCGTAGTTAGATAATTGAAGGCTAATATATTGTATAAAATGTGATCATACTTGGATTATAAGCATCTCAAGCTATTCACTAATCACTCAAAATGAATGTCGAAAGAATTCCAAATTACCCTCAATATGTCCGCTAAGTCATGCTGGTCCCACCAACCAATAAGGAAATTAATATCGATTCTATTGTAGACATTCAACGCCTAAGTAATATGCGATTCTTACCTTTGTAGGTTAGCATTTAAAAGAGGTTTGTTTATGTTTTTAACAATCGAATATATCATGACAAAATTCTAAATACTCTAATATTCCCCTTCCTACTACTGTGGTGCGTGCTAGTTATGTTGATTTAAGTAGTATATGACACGAGTCAGGAATGTAATGTCTGGCATCAGAAGATGAGGAAGATCAAGAAAGGAAGAGCAGGAATAGAAAGCAATTAGTATGGAAATGCAAGAACAACGAAGTTCGAGACAATTATTGAACATTTTGCAAATTATCGTATGGTTTTTCTATTTTACCAAGTAATTGTAATTTTGTGCTAAACATGTTCGGTTGTCCTCACCTGTGTTCTCCTTCACTACACTACTAATACTATTACTATAGGACAAGGCACTGGTACAAGGATTGAATGTTTATTGTGAGAAATTAGTGTTTATATGATACGCATGCATAGCCTTCGATCTTCCATTTGCATCTTTTGGTGTGTTCTACAATCCAAACTATCTTCGAACCTGAACTTTATGTATTCTACCTACGCATGCTTTCATGTACTGAAACTCTTCGCGGCATCTGACGGCCATGACAGCTTAGAAGCCACGTTCCGCTATATATACTACTTACATGCAATCTTGGGATTAGCGTTCACTACACTACTACTATGACTAATGTGAGGAAAAATTTCCAATTTAAGGAACAAACAAAACCTATATCATAGACAAAACAAACAGAGTGTGCAATAATTACAATTTACACACCAACTTCTTTGAATACAATCGTTCAAAACAAAAAAAATCCAACGGTAAAGTTTACTTTCAAAATGTTTATTTTAGTGGAAAAAGAAAGCTTAGTAAGTAATGAAGTATTAAAAACAATCAAACATTAAATAGCTACACATTCAGAGATTATAAACCATAAGACTCCCCAAAGTAGAAATCATCAATTAATTCCATCTGAGAAATGTGATCAGTGATAGAGCCTATTAAAATGTATATTAAAAACTCCTAATAGACTAACAATAACACTGATATGAAGAATCATACTCTTACATAGGCTAATAAGATATATGGAAACACCTGAGTACTCGTTGAATCAATACGCTTATCACAAAAAGCACTCAAATAACAGTTTAAACGTTGTAAATGACTTACAATAAATGATTCATATGAATTCGCCCCCAAATGCCCTGGTACGGCCGAGAGTAGGGAGTCCGCTCTACCTCTTGAAATGCCCTCACATGACCACGCGTATATAGCCTGTCAGGGAAGTCCTACTCATTGCCCTTTCGTGGCAATGGTGCTGTTTACGAAATTGAGAGGACGAAAAACGAATTTCCGGCGCTTTAACCCGGTTGGTGGACACGGAGTCCACCTAGGAGAGTTGGAAAACCGAGTGTGGTCCCCTAAGAAAATCACCTGCTTCGGTTTGGGCACCCGGGCAGTATCACAGCCCTCACACATATGAAATGAGATCTGTGTGGCGCATATGTATTTGGTGCCTCTATATGAGTTCACCAAATATTTACAACAGATCGTGAACTACTACTTAGGATTCTTTGTATACATTAATTTGTAATGATTCGATGAGTGACAAATAGGATGAAACGTACATCCTAAATTTCAGTGCTAGTTATATCTCATCTACTCATTACAATTCTATATATTGTTTGATTACTTTATTTTTCTACTGTCCACTAACATAAGTATCCTACCACCAACTATGAACTCATTTAACTTATCACCTTCCATGATCAAACGTTTACAACCAACAAATAAATTATCACAGATTGAAATCATGAGTCAGTTGAAGCTAGACCACCATTGAAAACCTGGAAGCACTGGACGGCCGTTTCGTCCTAGTATGGGACTCCTCAGCAGTGCGCATCCACGAACCCGCATCACCCGGGGCTCGAACCCAGGACATACTGGCTTCGCGCGCGAGCATTTGACCATTAGACCACTGAGCCGGCATCCAACGGTGTTAATGTCTAACTTCAACCAATCCACGAAGTTGCGCTACCGTACACCATTGTCTTCAGTGAGTTCCTATCTCACAACAGACCTGGTTGAACTCCACTGGTAACGGCTTCTCACTAGAACTCCTGGGTTCGAGCCCCGCGTGGTGCGGGGTCGTGGATGCGCACTGCTGAGGAGTCCCATACTAGGCCGAAACGGCCGTCCAGTGCTTCCAGGTTTTCAATGGTGGTCTAGCTTCAACTGACTCATGATTTCAATCTGTGAAATTTCTAAAATCTCCACAAAACCCATTCTGATAAAAATAAATTATCGACATCATAACATCAAACACGTTGAAATTGTGTAGCTGCCCTCATAAATACAACAAAATAGAATATATATCAAAATTTATTTTATTAAAAAAAGAAGAAGAAGGAAAGTATTCTCCAGAAATAGTACAAAATGTAAATTACAAATATAAGTAAGCAAACCTTGTTGTGTTTTTTTTAAATGAAAAAAACGTTGTGTATCAAATAATAGAATTAATACTTGCTAGTGTTTGGATCTTGTACATGATAAGTACTCTGTTGTTTGTATTGTTTTGTTTATTTTCCATTTTGATTGTGAAAATCATAAACATACACTACAAAATACATCAAAATAAGACAAGTTATACAAAGAATAATAGCACATATGTTATTAGATTAATTATGATTGTAACTTCAATAAGTTATATTCTTCTATTCATAACATAAAAGATAAGTAGTTAAAGGGAATCAATGAAAAGAAATTTATTATACAATAAATGGGATCACATGAAATAATAACTGATATAAGTGATCTACTATTGAAAGTAAATGTTGGTATAATTATGAACGTTCTTTTTTTTAAATTTCGCTAATAAAATCATACAATTGAAGAAGTATTTACTTTTTCGAACATCATTTTACAAACTTATGATAAAACAATGGAAGTCGTAATATATATGTATATATGTATATGTATATGTATATATATATATATATATATATATATATATATATATATATATATATATATATATAGTCTCTAAAGGTTGAATTAATATATCTTTATTGAAACATTGTATAACTATGCCATCAATATAAACAATAATAAATTAACAATATACTTACAAAATAGTCTTATACAACGTTATCACTTCCTTATTATACACACATATACATATTATAAATGAAAATGATAATACAGTTGGAAATGATTGGAAGTATCCAAATATAACATATTGAATATTTCATTCAATATTCAATAGGTTTATAAATGAAACAAGCAAGATACAACGAAACAATCGTCAACAAAATCATCCAATTGAACCAAAAAAATCAACAAAAAAAACAAGAACAGAACGAGAATAAAGTAAATTGAATATAGAGAAGAACAAAAAGAAAAATCTATTTTCTAATAAATTGACCAGAACTACTTGATAATTAATAAACATTAAAAAAGTGTTTTTCAATACAAATAAATAAGATGGTAAGGTGAAAGGTAAGAATGTAAAAAGAGAAAAAAGGCAAAAAAAAACAAAACGTGTTTAACCATTGAGAAAAGGTTTGTGTTTGTTTTTTCTCTTTTTCTATCCGTTAGTTAATACTTACAACAAGAGAATAAAAATAACTATACACACGAAAGAACTGATGTATATAGCTGTTATTATAGATAGCATGTATATATATATACATATAATAAGTATGATTAATACAAATAGAATAGTTTATAAAATAAATACACCATTATTAATATCATTAAATAATTGTTGATCTACTAGTTGATAAACTTTTGTTTTCGGATTTAAAAAGTATACATGATCATTTGGATCAATGTTTGGATCGAAACCAAGACGACTGATTTCTGCTTTGCTAATTTTAAATGTACCTAAATAAAGAATAAAATAATAAACGAGATTTTTTTTAAAAAAAAAAAGAAAGGCGGAATGAAACCACTTTTTTTAACAATCATAAATTAAGCTTCATTAAAAATACATTTAATCTCAAATATTCATATGAAAACACGTTCATATAAAGTTTTTACAATGTTTTATTATTAAACAAATTTGATAAATGTTCAATTGATGTTCCAATCAACAAGAGGTTAAAAGAAGTAAGAATTCATCCAGTCAATCATCTACAATGTAGGACCAGGCAAATTTATGCATCGGTCTAAGATGCCATACCTCATTAGCACTACAACATCAACACCAAATTCATAAAAGCAGTTAATTCAATGGTGGTAATATATAAAAGAAAGATTGCAATAAGGATATAGTACAAAAAGAGAGAATAAGTTCGTAGAAAGAAAGATATGAAGCAATTTTAATATCTTAGTTTAAAGGAAGATAGATTGCATACATCTATGCCATTGTGATCGATTCTGAGCCATGTCATCAAAAGTCTCCAACCATTGGTTACGATAGTCACGCGGACCACAACCAAGTTATATTGAAAACTTGTGAGTAGTGGAGGCCTTGAGACTGCATCTTTTTACCACCGATCTCACTACGATCCTAATACTATTACTATGATCATCATCATCATTGAAAGAAGTAGTAGTGGTTATTAATTTTTTATAATTGTTATGAACATCTGTTCGTCCTTTCTATACTTTTTTATATTCGTCAAACAGTCAAGTATCATTTCATAATTTTTACACATAATACCATTCCATCTTACTCATCCCTTCTATGAATCCGGTGTTCGTCTTGCTGTGCTAATTAAGGTGTGTCAACTTGAACCGATGCATGTATGTGTCTGGTCCTACGTTGTAACTGACTAACTCTTACTCTTTCTCAGTATATAAGTTACCTGTACATTGGTACAATGTAATTAATAATATTTTGTTCAAATACAATCAAACTTTCTATTACTTAAGTCATTTGAAAATAACAAATTTCATTGATAACACAAGTTATTTCCAGCTGACAATAGTAAACAAATTGATAATGCATTATCATATGTAACTTCCTAATTAATAAAACAAGTAATTGATAAAATGGATATGAAATTAGAATGAATGTTTGAAATACATTTTGTACTAATTGTTTCCGATATATTTAACAGTATCTATTATCATCTGTTATACATTACGTTTCTGTAAATAAACAACAAACAAACATTACTTCAAATTCAATGTAGCAACAACAACAACAAATCAATAACTTAATTAAAGGTTTGTTTATCATTTTTTTGCCAATATCATAAAATTTTCATTGTGTGTGTGTGTGCATGATATCTTTTTGTAAAGCTTAAACTATTCCAAATGTTAAAAACAGTGCAATGAATATCCAAGTTTAATTCTTTCGTTCTTTGTTGTCGCTTTTTTTCTCTCTAATTTTGAAAATGGAACTTAGTTGTGTTTTTTCTCTCGTTTTTCTCTTGAACAGATATCTTTCATTATCAATAAATAAAGCTTTCATAGTAAGTAATATATTGTGAATTCATAGAAAAAACAACAAAAGTTGTCGTTTTTAAAAAATGAGAAGAAAAACAACAGGACTTTAGTACGTGAACATGAATGTGACAAAGTTTAATTATCAGCTTAGTTGTTCGTTTTTTTTCAAAATTATTATTATTATTATTATTATTATAGTGTAATGTGGTATTGTGGTGTATGCAGATATAAGTAGTATATAACATCAATCGGAATGTGGAATGTCTGTGAGCAGAAGATTGAAATGAAGAGAAGTGTGTAGAAAACTGAAAGCAATGAAGATAACAACAGGAATGTGGGAACAATGAAGCTTGTAAAAGACAATTCAAAGATGTATGATTTTCACATTTTACTATACCACTGAATGATTACGCATTAAACAGTAGATTAGTTTTTCCCACCTAAGTCCTCATTTATAACAGTATTATTATTTATAAGTGTCATTACCAAGGTTTGATTTGATAATTTCGAATAAATTGAGCATTGGGTTGATTGATATAAATAAAATAATATATTTCTAATATCCCAATGAATAGAAAATTGGATTTTCTGACGTTTCGTGACTTAGTGTAAGTCACTTCTTCAAAGAACGTTGTATTATTTAAACTTGGATTAATTTTAATTTGGTTATTTATTCTCTGAAGAAGTGACTTACACTAAGTCACGAAACGTCAGAAAATCCAATTTTCTACTCATTGGGATATTACAAATATATTATTTTATTTATAGTATTATTATTTATTTTATTTTATTTTAACACATAGATATTGGTACAAAGGGGCACCGCATACATGTGCGCCACACAAATCATTCGACTTGTGTGAGGGCTGTGATACCGCCTAGGTGCCCCAAACCGAAGCAGGTGATTTTCTTAGGGGGCTACTCCCCGAGCCTTCGACCTAAAGGTCTGATTCACAAGGCAGTGGAGCATCGTAAGGAAGTGCAGTCCCATGGTAGTTGGTGACCAACAATTGGTTCATACTTCATTTGTTCCTTCAGGATTCTGGAGCCCATGTACACCATTGGTTTGAAATCAGGGTTTTCCAACTCTCCTAGGTGGACTCTCCGTGTCCACCAACCCGGTTAAAACACCGGAAATTCGCTTTTCGTCCTTTCTATTCCGTAAACAACACTCCTGTCACAAGAAGGCAGTGAGTAGGACTTCTTTGGCAGAGGCTATGGCCATGTGAGAGCATTTCGCGAGGGTGAGCAGACTCTCCCCACTCTCGGCCGTACCAGGGCATTTGGGTGAAATAAATTCTTACGTAATTATGTCATATCAAAGTAAAAGTAATATGAATTTATAGTTCTTAATGACATTTTTGTCAACAGATTAAATGAATTCAAACTGCATATAGACAGACAATATCAATATAAAACTTGGCATAGATGTGCGTTGGCCCAAACTACCAAACCAGATTACCATAACGAGATGAAAATAAGAAGAGACCGAAATAATCTAATAATAATAACGATAAAAAGAAGGACTAAACCAAGAGAATATGGTTTTAAAAAAGAAGTATTCAGGTATGTATGAAAAATCGTGGAATTAATTAAAGATTGAAGGAAAGATGCGGAGTGAATGTATCTGTGTTATATTGCACTTTATAGTATTTCATGATGACTGACTGAAAATAATCCAGATCGTAGCTTGGATGTTTTTTTCTACTGAACTACATTAATACACTTATCAGTTGTACTACTATGACTGAATTACATATGACCAATCAACATCTAATTGGAACATATTAATTCATCGTATTACATGTGCATAAGAACATGATCACATTGACAGTAAAAAATACCATTCACATGAAATAGTAAGTTTTTAAAAAAACATAAACTTGAAGTTCAGAGAGTAAACTAACAATTAAATTGGTGTGTATAACTCCCCGTGAAACATAGAAATATATCAGCCGGACAAATATAAACAATAAATGATTCGGCACTAGATATGTGTCAGTGTTCTTAATATCTACACTTTAGATATGCAGGATCGATGATAACGTACTACTGCACAAAAATTACAGCAATCTATCTAATGAATGGATATGAACAAAAGTATCCCTAGTGAAAACCATTTGACATATTCAATTTATTTAATAGGATACAGGGTAGTGTATGCTACTTATAACGACAGACATAAGTAGTATGTAACAGCAATCGAAAGTGGGAACCTTGGCAGCAGAAGGTTAAGAAGATCAAGATGAAGAAAATACAAGGGGAAATAAAAAGGAATTGCCAATAGGAAGAATCATATTTATTTATTCATCATTTATTTATTTTAACATATAAATATTGGTAAAAAGAGGCACTGTATACATGTGCGCCACACAAATCATTCGACTTGTGTGAGGGATGTGATACTGCCTGGGTGCCCAAATCGAAGCAGGTGGTTTTCTTAGAGGAACACACGGAGAGTTCGACCTAAAGGTCTGATCCACAGGGCAGTGCAGCAACGTAAGGAGATGCGGTCCCATGATAGTCGGTGGCCAACAACAGGTTCATACTTCATTTGTTCCCTCAGGATTCTGGAGCCCATGTGCACCATTGGTTTGGAATCAGGGTTTTCCAACTCTGTGTCTACCAACCCAGTTAAAGCGCCGGACATTCGCTTTTCATCCTCTCAATTCCGTAAACAACAATAATGCCGCGAGAAAGCAGTGAAGCACGAATGAAATAATCAATGTGCGGTTCTCATATTTTACCAAGGTGTTATGTAATTTTACACAAAACTAAATTTGGTTGTCCCCATCTGTTTTCTCGCTTATTACAATAGTAGGATTATATTACGGTTTTCTTTTTTATTACACTCAAATTTATAAAAGGAAGTACATAAGTGAAGCATTTAAGTCCAATATTGAGTTCTGATAAGATTTTAAAATTAAGTCGGTTTATTACAATCAAGTTCAATTACGTAATAGGTTCACTTACACAGATCACATGTGTCGTGTCACAATATTATATAACGTGGATTAAAAGTGCAAAATTAACAATAAAAATCAGAACGATTTGTAAAGAATAGTTTTATTACACACTATCTATCACTTACTCTAGACTAACATCACGGAGGTGCCAAAGATGGCGCAGATTGGTACATGGCGCTTTGGCTTTCACTATATGTGAATTGATCTCATCACTCACTCTACTATCAGCTATTCAGATACACGAAATCGACTATTTCTAACTGCTTACTACCAAGAGTGAATGAAAATGCAGGGTCCTGCCGGTCTTGTGAAAGTACTTTGCACTTCGAAGGTGCAAACAACATACCATTCCTACAGATACTTATTTCCAACTGATTAACTGCGGATTGCATGGCTTGAGTATTATCGCACAGCAATACAATGTCATCCGCATATTCAAGGCCGAGTTTTTCTCCAAGCAACAGATCTACACCACCGTAACCTACGTCGATTAGAGCTGTTTTCAGAACGTCATCGATAGCAAAACTGAACAGTAGTGGTGAGATTGGGCAACACCAATGATTGAATGGAATCATAGAGAAGGATGGTTGCATGCACTCAATCTGCCTAAAGTATTTGTATGTATGGCCTTCAAGCTGTCAATAAACTTCTCCGGTACACACTTCTTCAATACATAGTTTCAATGAGCAGCCCTATCCAACGAATAGAAGGTGGCCGTGACCTCAACAAACGCAGAGATTGTTGGCTTGCAATAAGTATGGCGGTGTTCTAACATTTAGCGGAGAGCTTGGATTACATGAATTGAAATCAGTTGTAATGGATCATTTACATTCATTCTCCAATTCATGAATCTCGAGCTTAATAACACTAAAACCTTTTTATTCTTCGGTTTTATGCGTTCATTTTAACTCTCTTACAGTGAGTGATGTTTTTATTTGTTGATTTCATTGTACTGTGTTGATGTACAGAAATTCAACTTGAACTGCTCTAAATATACGCTGAATCTTAGATCGTTAATACTAATGATTTACATTTTCGAAACTTTTCAAACAATTCACTGAAAATCCACTAAAACACACAAACCAACATGTCCGCGACTAAGCATCTGGGGTAGCTTCTTAGTCTTTTCTTTTTTTGAGATAAACTTATGAATATTTTTCGCTTATAATTTAAATCTAAAAAACTTGATTTCATAAAATACGTAGGTATGAGATTAGTAGTGAAATTCAGAACACGCGTCTAGTTTTATTTGAGACACGCCGGATGCGTATATCTGCATCTAAATTTATGTTCACAGTGGGACTCAAGCCTGGAACATTTCGTTTCAAATGCTACTGAGTCCAGTGCTATTAGAACAGTAGCGATTTGTCTATTTCTTTGTATTACTATTAATACTATCATATCAGTATAAAGCTGTAGGCTTGATCACATGTGACAGCCTACGTACATAACTCTCTAGCTTAAATGTTAGTCAGTTAAATATGCTTGAATCATTTTAATTGCTTCGCTTTGATTTGACTGTGTATTCACTTGCTCGTGAGCATTAGCTTTTCTGCTCACATTCACTTGAGGTGCTTGTAAGTTTTTTATCTGAACTCACCATTAAAAAACTGTAGTCGGTGTTTCGTGTTGCTTTTTGAATTCAGTGTTGGAATTTAACGGTTATCAGGACAATTGGTATAAGAAGCCTAAAGAATTGTCTCGATAACAAGCCACTCAGGATATAGAGGATGAGATTCACACAAGTTTTAATAATGACACTAATAAACTTGGATTTGAGGAAAATAAAATAAAAACCTTCTGATATGAGCTTAGATAACATCATATGGAATATAAACCTACCTACACAAAAAAGAACGTTTAGTCAGTCACTTAAAAATCATAATAATGAGTAAAAAAGAAGTGAATTGAACATACCAGTCATCGTCAGATTTTGACACAACCGTATGAATAGAGGACGTGCATAAGAAGGCAAGTTCCCTGTAAACTCTTCATTTATTCGACAAAGCAAATTTTCTTCCTCTATAGAAGTAAGTTTTGATCCTTCTAATGCAATAGCAGCCATTCCAGCTTTCCCCTCTGTCCCAGGAACAGAAACACCGAATACAGTCCCAGTTAATGTTCCAATAGCTTGATCTAAAACACGTTCAACTTCTGAAGTGGATACATTTTCCCCATGCCATCTAAATGTATCACCTAACCGATCGATAAAGTACATATAACCCAATTCATCACAGCACATTAAATCCCCTTAAATGAAAAGAGAATAAAAAATGAGTTTAAGTATTTTTTTTATGGGCCAATTCAACCAAGAAGTAAATTTTAGTCTCGAAAATATAATTTATGAATAGTAATTTTGTATGATCTAATTTTGAAAAACAAACAAATTTGTATTTAACTTTTGTCAAACAATTTATTAATATCAGATGGGTTTTTTGTGGAGGTTGTAGTAATTTCAATGGTTAAGATCATGAGTCAGTGCTTCCAGGTTTTCCATGGTGATCTAGCTTCAACTGACTTATGATCTTAACCATTGAAGCAATTTATTACCAAACTGTCTCTTACATATTACCATATATATTTGAGCACAGTAGTTATAAATCACATCATCGCCTGACTAACCTTTTAGTAACTCTCACAGATAACATTTTTGTCACCGGATTAATAATTAACATCGGATCATACTAGTAATTATTATTTAAATATTTATAATTCATTATCGATATGTTTCACTAACAATAACATTACTTTTAAAGTTGAAAAAGAAACAAATTATATATGGTAACTTAAAATTCAAAATAAAGCTATCTGCAATGATGAAGATTTGTATCTCAAATGGATGATTTAGGTGAAGTTCTATTTTTTGAGCTGGATGATTTGGATGTGGATGATGTTGTTCAAAAGAACAATTAAAGCTCCACAATCAAACCATCCAGTTCAAAGAACACAACTCCACCTAAAACCTATGTACATCAAAACAGTGTATTAAAAGTATCATAATTTGAAATAGGTTTACTCCTTCCTTCGGTTACAATTAAAACTTCAGATTGATTTATGTTTAATTAAAAGACATTCGACAGATTCAAAATTGACAAAAGAAAGTGATAACAATGTTGTATGGTTTAGTCGTTAAACCGAAGGACATTCAATCAAATAGGGTAAAATGATTCTAAGATTATTCATCTACTTCCGTTTCAACAAATCAGTAACAACACAAACTGTGGTTCAGAGCTCAGTACAACATATAGTATTAGATGGAGTTACAGTGAGTTAAAGTTGATTAAGATTGTAGGTATCATTACCAAGGTTTGATTTGATAATTTCGAATAAATTAAGCATTGGGTAGATTGTTATGTTCCACTGTATTATTTAAACTTGGATTAATTTTAATTTGGATATTTATTCTCTGAAGAAGTGGCTTACACTGAGTCACGAAACGTCAGAAAATCTATTTTTTCTACTCATTGGGATATTACAAATATATTATTTCTCGTTGATTAAGATTATTTTAATAAAAGTACGAATGGATTAATAGCGAAGTATTTATTCGAACCAGTAATTAATAATAACACAACATAACATCAGGTATGTACGTAACACATTCGATACTGTGATATTACTATGATTTTAAAATCTATGCCAGTACTAATTAGCAACGTTACCAAGAATTATTCCAAGCATAAATGTGAATCTAAATGATTAAGCATTCACAAGACCAAAACTGGTGTCTGAAGTAGCAGTCAGTCAGCTACAACATGGGATCAGACACATATTCATCGGTCCAAGATGCCATACCTCATTAACACAACAAGATCAACATCAAATTCATAAAAGCAGTTAATTCAGTGGTGGTAATATATAAAAGAAAGATTGCAATAAGGATATAGTACAAGAGAGAATTACTTTGTAGAAAGAAAGATATGGAGCAATTTTAATCTCAGAGTTCAAAGGAAGATAAAGAGTGTATACACCGACGCCATTCTAATCGATTTTGAGCCATGTCACCAAGAGTCTCCAACCATTGGTTACGATAGTCATGCGGATCACAACCAAGTAGTCTGCATCTACCAACATGGCTCAAACTAGAAGTTAGTGACTTCAAGCACTGATACCACGTTTTGGTTTGGCTGCCCCTAACTTTCTTCCAACCATCCCCAACACCAATAAGCATTGCGCGTCGTGGTAATCGGTGGTTGGGGATACGTAACACGTCGATGAAGCTTCACAACCTCATTAATTGATTTACCATTATGTTTGAAGTAGCATGATTAAGACGTCACAAAATAAGTTTAGTGGGAAGAAATTTTCTTTCCCAATTAGTTCCTCATCAAGGCTGTACTCTAATATATAAGCTCTACAATTAAGGATAAAATTAAATGCAAATAAATGACGGTTGATCATTTCAGCAAGGAATCAGTTAGATACTCAATGGATGTAGAATTAAATCTAAAGATAAGACCACATAATCGGTTAATCAATAACAACTTGTTACGTAAGAATAAGAATTAAGTTCGTTCGAAATTAAGCAATTGAATATAAATAGCTGATGTTATTTTGTAAAATTATCAGTATGTAATTAATAAAATTGCTGCGAGAAAATAAAAATTACACAATTAGACTATTCAGCTAGATAGATAGATCACGTAAAATAAAGTTATAAATTAAAACTGAATAGAACTGAAATCGATTAATGTCCTTAAGTATTGCACATTGAATAATATTTGATAGTAAGTATATTCTATATCTTGTTCAGTAAGGTTTCAACAATAGTGAAAATACAAGTGACAAATGTGTTATTAGTCAATTATTCAACTTGTTTACGACAGTTTTTAGCAGGATTTAATCAAAACAGTATGACCATGAACAGCATAGGTAGTTACATTCAGGAAATTTATAAATGTAATGCATGCATAAATAGACTGTAAGAAGTGTTCGCGCGCGAGATCAGTAGGTCCTGAGTTCGAATACCGCGGGGCGGGATCGTGGATGCCCATTGCTATGGAGCCCCACAGTAGGACGAAACGGCCATCCAGTGTTTTCAGGTTTTCCATGGTGGTCTAGCTTCGATTGACTTATGATCTCAACAATTGAAACTATTATTACAATTAAGATTTATTGAAATCATGAGTCAGTTGAAGCTAGACCACCATTGAAAACCTGGAAGCACTGGACGGCCGTTTCGTCCTGGTACGGGACTCCTCAGCAGTGCGCATCCACGATCCCGCACCACCCGGGGCTCGAACCCAGGACATACTGGCTTCGCGCGCGAGCACTTAACCATTAGACCACTGAGCCGGCATCCAATGGTGTTAATGTCTAACTTCAACCAATCCACGAAGTTGCGCTACCGTACACCATTGTCTTCAATGAGTTCCTATCTCACAACAGACCTGGTTGAACTCCACTGGTAACGACTTCTCACTAGAACTCCAGAAGTGTCTCCTGAAGTCAGTCACTAGTGAGCAGGTGATTATTATTATCAGAATGTGTTTTGTGGAGATTTTTAGAAATTTTCACAGATTGAAATCATGAGTCAGTTGAAGCTAGACCACCATTGAAAACCCGGGTGGTGCGGGTTCGTGGATGCGCACTGCTGAGGAGTCCCATAGCAGGACGAAACGGCCGTCCAGTGCTTCCAGGTTTTCAATGGTGGTCTAGCTTCAACTGACTCATGATTTCAATCTGTGAAAATTTCTAAAAATCTCCACAAAACACATTCTGATAATTAAGATTTAACCAAAATAGCACAATGATTAAGAAATTATTAACAGTTTGTTTCTATCTCTTCTCTTATTCTTTGATTGACCTAATAACCTATATTATCACTTGTATTCTAAGATTATACAAACAAAGTGTATTGATTTATGTTTGTCCATACGACACCCCTTATTGAAATATAAGAGTTTTCTCAAAAAGACTTACCTCTTACACTGATTGATCACTGAGTATTGATCAACGTTATGTTTATCTGACCTTTATTACTGATCGAATTTTATTGATCAAGCTACAATGTATCCACTAATCTACATGACTGGTTATCATGTGCACTATTTTTATATGTTAGGTGATTAGAGGTAACAGGTAGAAAACCGTGAACCTAGGTATCGTGTTAATTGGCATTCGTCCGCAATGCATATCTACCATCTTCAATGAAATGGTGTTCATTGTTGAATTTTAAACCGAGTCACTTAGTTCCATAATCTGAAACACTATCACCAGGCTATTCGCGCCCAGATTAACTTTCTGTAGAATTGAGGTGTTTATGCAATGAACCTAATGTTGAGTCACGTAGACTGGTGACCATATTGGGGCTTGATTGATATAATTCAATCAACATATCAGCCAATGCTCAACGATCAGTCAATGTAAGTATCTAAATCCTGCAGGAAGTCAATCGCAAAACAAATAACAGTGGTAACGTCTCAGATTACAAAGCTGGGTGACATCAGTTCGAAGCATACTGAGATGATTGGTTCCGTTTACAATTATAGACTAATTTTTGCTTCTCATTTCCATATGTTGTTGTACTGATGTCCTTACTATTCTCACTCGGTTGTGTCAAGCCTAGGATAACACCGTAACTTTTATAAAATCAGTTAAAGCACTCCTATATTCAGTGACATTCTGAACACATTAGCGCTCATAAAAGAAGTGTACCTGTTACACATCCCTATACTCAAAAACATTGTTAACAAAACGTTCAAAGAGTAACTGCATTGAAACAAGTAGCATTTCAAAATAAGCTCACAACATAGCAATGATATATATTTAATAACTTCTTACCAGAAGCAAACCATAAATCACCCTTACGTAAAACATTTCGAATAATTTTCTTTTCGGAAGCTTCCGAATTAACATAACCATCAAACATTCGAAAAGGATCATTTGAACCAATACGTGCTACCAAATGACCAGGTTCATTTGGTTCACACAGTATGCATAATCCAGTTATGGGATCTCTAATAGGTTCTTTAGTGTCTACATCAATTTTAATGATATAGCATGGATAAAAACCATCAATGATTTTTGAAACATAACCAACTGCACCAAACTGGAAGAAAAGTAAGCAAAGAAAGCAAAACAACATCGATAAATTCATAAAATGGAGAATTATAATAACTGTTAGTAATTTCAAAGATCTACAGTAACATGGGAATGAGGTGGTAAAATTTACAAAAAATCAACTTTGGTTTATAATAATTCTTTTCGATTAGTAGATCAAAGTAGACAAATAATGTCATCTTGTAACTCTTGTACTCAAGTAGAATTTTAAAAATTTCATATTATGCCTAATCAGAAATTTAATCACGTCAATGAAATCAACGACATGATCGACTAATCAATGTACCATTTTATGATAGTATACGCTAAAGATTGATAAACATCCCAATAAACATTAAAAAGTACAATTAAATAAATCCATATTTTCAGGATAGTGGTTTGTGGGAGTTGTGGGAATTTTAACAGTGAACTTAATGAGTCGATTTAACTAGACCACCACTGAATACCTGGAAGCACTTGACGGCCGTTTCATCCAAGTATGAAACTCTTCAGCAGTGAGCATCCACGATCCCGCATATGGGATCATATTTAGGATGAAACGGCTGTCAGGTGCTTCCAGATTTTCAATGATAGTCTAGGTCAGATCGACTAATGAATTCAACTGTTGAAATCCATAGTTGTTTATTCATTTAAATACATGCACAATGGTACAAAGGACTATATTAAAATATATATGCGCCACACAAATAATTGAATTTCTGAGTGAACCTTGATACTGCTCGTGTGCCCAAGCCGAAGCAGGTAGCTTTCTGAGAAGGCCACTACCCAAGCCTTTGACCCAGAGGTCTAATCCACGAGGTAGTGTGACAATGTTAGGAGATGCAGTCCCATGATAGCCGGTGAGCAACAGTGGGATCAGATGACTTTTGTCACCTCAGGATCCTAGAGTACATAAGCAATGCTGCTTTGAAATTAGGGTTTTCCAACTTCCCTAGGTGGGTCCTCCGTACCCACTTACTTGGTTTATACACAGGACATTTTCCTTAGTCCTCTCAATTTCGTAAACAAAAACTGCGCCGCAAGAAGGCAGTGAGTAAGAATTCCATGACAGTGGCTCTATGCGGATGGCCATACGAGAACATTTCGAGAGGGAGAGCGGACTCTATCAACCCTCGGCCGTACCAGGGCATTTAAGAAGCATATTCGGACAAGAATGTGATAATATACAATAATACCAATGTAAGTTTTCATATGCTTTGATTTAAATAGGTTAATTAGGTGTATGAACAAGTAAAAACTTATCATAAATCAACAGATTATTAAACTACACAAAGTATTTTAGTTAGAAATTAGATAAGCTACGTTGCTGAAAAATTAGGCTTGTGGATAAGTGCTTACAATACTCGACCCTCAGACAGTAGATTACAGATCAGAACAATTTTTCGGCTAATTAAGAATTTAGCAAGCTGAATAAAATTGCTAAATCTCATGCAAAAAATGTGGCTCAAAATCAGTCAGCCATACGCAGCGTAAAACCTGATACATATGTGCATCAATTCAGATTATTAGGCCACACCATCATAAGAAGATGGAACTATCAAGATGAATACCAAAGTAGTAGAAGTGATAGTACTATTAATAGTAAAAAAATTCGGTGCAGAGGATATGAATTGAGAAGGCTAAATAAATTCACATAATAAAAGGTATGAAATGATTTTGAAAGTTAGGATCTATGAGAATATAAAGAGTGAATACGATTGGTTTTGACCCTTATCATTCATTTTCAACTAATGGTCACGACAATCACGTGAAACCCAACCAGATAGCCTGTACCTACCAAGAATTATCAGATCAACGGTCAGCAACTTCATGTAAAGGTCCTAAATTTTGGTTTCAGTACTCCTAGTTTTATTCTCAACTATGCACTAACCTTTACTCAGTAAGTAAGTTACATTTAAAAACGTAGAAACTAGTTTTGATAACAATAAAAAGGTAGAAACTGATCTTAATTAAAAATGAAGTAAACTTTTGGCTTACTCTTTTGAATAAATGTAATTTACATTTAATATTCACTCAACAAAATTAGGACTTGGTGAAATATTGTTTGTCAAACGTGTGTACCTCTGACTATCTAAAACTATTCATACAATTTAAAAAAACTTTGAAATAACCAAAAGAGCGGGTAGACACAATTTACATTAAAAAATATCACAATTACAAATAAAAAGTAATTTATATTGATGGGTACTCCCTTACTTTATTATCCATGTTAGCAATATTAGTATTTGACTCTGTAGCACCATAAAATTCCCCAATCTGTTTTACATTGAAACGTTCTTGAAATGCTTTCCATATTTGTGGTCGTAGACCATTACCGAATGCAATTCGTACATGATGTTGTTTATCTGTTGGTCTTACAGGTTGACATAAAAGATAACGACATATCTCTCCAATGTATTGAGCAACCTGAAATGGGAAAAAAAGAAATTTGATTTAAAGAGAAAAAACAATAATTCTAATTTAATTGTAGTTGTAATGAAAATTATTTTAAAAACAATTGGTCAGAAAGTACAGACAAGTGTAAAATGTGTTGTGACGGATAGTGTCTGAAATCTGATACTGATACACTGTGTATTACGCGCTGATCCCTTCCATCCGAATGACTACTTAAGTGAGAAAGTGTACTGGACTATCAAATAAAATGCACAAATACTAATTCATATATATACCACTCAATTCTTAGGGAATTGACCCATTTCTTAGCCAATGAAATGTATTTATCCTTTAGGTTATCCCTGATTGCTAATGACTGACCTATTACTTCTGGTCGTCTCTCCATATCAAAATAGCTTTAACATAAATCAACTTGATCCGTTACATAGAAGTTTGTAGATATGATTTAACATTCTTGTTTATATTATAGACTGAACTTAGTTGAACAATAATAGAAAAATTAGCAAATAACTATTCAATACTACTTGATTTTTAACAGTTGTCTAAATAAGGTTATCAGTCTGTAATATAAACTTTTTTTTAAAAGGAATTCGGCATAAATAACATGAAATCATCATTGAACGTTGAATATATAAAGGTTAGGAAATGAAATACAATGAATTGATCGATATAAACAAATCAATCGGAATAAGACAATTTCATTCCATAGTTATATAAGCTAATGTACAAAGTTCAAACTTTTACAAACTAATTTTACATAAATAACGGGAAATGAAGTGCAATAAAATTGATTTTTAGAGATAATTTACTGATTAATTGGGGAAAAAAAGTAAAGTTCATTGATATATCTTTATTACTTTTAATAACGATGTGACTAATCGAAAGGAAAAACAAAAGGAATATAGTGACTTCGTCATTATATATCTTATTATTATTAATATTAAAACAAGGTAATTATATTGTGGTGTGTACTACTGATGTTGACAGATATAAGTAGTAAGTATCACTAATCGGAAATGGAATACCTGGAGGTAAAAGATTGAGAAAAGCGAAGAGAAAAGAACGAGAACAGAGATTGATTAGCATGGAAATGAAGGGGCAACAAAGTCTGAGACAATTGATGGATATTTTGCAAATGAAGTATTTAATGTATGTATCTCATAATTTACCACGATCTTCTGTAATGTTGTATTAGAGTACATTTGGTTGTCCCCATAGGTGTTCTCTTTCATCACAATATTAGTTGTCAGTAATATGAATAGTAATAATAATAATTACTATAGTAATGATAATAATAATTAGTAAAAGTCAATTTTACTAATTTATATTAAGAATTGGTGTACAAACTAAACAAAATTACACTATAAACGAATAATCCATTACTATAAAGTACTTTTTTACTTAAAAAAACAGGGATCCATTTACAGAATAAAGAATAAAAAATGCATTTATTGAAAAACCGATACAAAAGCATTCATAGGCTATTAGTACATATTCAGTAGTTGATTCAATGTGTATAACAAGACGGTTTGAATATTGTATTAGTTGTAAATATAGATAAATCGAATTACAATGAACCACCACCGAGTAAGCAACCCCTAGGTTAAGAATAGAGTCCAAGGTAAAGATAACAAATAGATTGATGAGGTATTAAATCTTCATCAACTGAAGTGGCTGAGACATGTGTTACCTATACCTAATCACCACATAACTCAACGATTGATGATTTGTAGTGTAGGAGTAGACTGGCATTAGTTCATAAATTCACTGGCAATCGGACTAAGCCTTGTTAATAGGCGTAGACTGCCTAGTTGGAATTTGTATGATTATCGTAACCAATGTTTAGAGACTTTGAATGACACGGATCAAAATAATTTGTGATGGTGTAGATGTATGCATTCTTTGTACTACCCCCGAAATCTGAGCTTCTGAATTCTTCATAAAATTTCTTGTTTTTATTTCAATAATTTATATATTCTTGAACTGTATTTTCGATGCCTAATCTTTTTAATCCCTATTCATACTGTCACTACCTCTACTATACTGGGGTTTAGGCTGACAATTTCATCTCTGTGCTAATGGGGTATGTCAACTTGAACAGATGCGAATAAATACTAGGTTCAACATTGTGACCGACTGATATTGAATGGTGATGAATGATCTCATATAATACAACTTATTAGTCTGATTGTCACTTTCTCCATAAACAAAAGTTGTAAAATTAATTTAAGGGATTTATGGAGATAGTCGAACACGAAATGGTGAACTTTAACCGTACAGTTGTTTACCAATGGCACTGGAAGATGATTGAGTTATATTGACAATTAATTATGATTAAAGGTGTAAATTATTCGATGTCAACTCAGTGGTCTAAAAGTTCAGTGCTCAAGGTAAAAGACAATCGTTGATATACACTTCTGAGAAAGCAATTGTTTAATACATCCTAGTTTTTAATGACTGTCTAACTAAGGTTAGATCAGATATCAACTAAAAACGTTGTAGAAACTAAACAGATAAATCCGCCTTCTTATGATCAGTTTAATACTTCCATCTAAGAATGATAGGATGTACAGTAAAACAAAACAATAAGAAAGTTAATTTATAGAAGAAATGAACATTATGAAAGGTTACACTAATATATAGCATATTCTTGTCATAATTACGTCAAAATTTGACCCATTGTTCATATACATACATGAACAAATGCTGTTATGATTCATTATTAATACAAACAGATACATCAAACGCCAGCGCATTTCAAAAACATGTAGTTGCATTTGTAAAGCAAAGAAAATTTAATGATACAAATACTACTACTACTACTACTACTACTACTACTACTACTACTACTACTACTACTACTAATAATAATAATAATAATAATAATAATAATAATAATAATAATAATAATAAACGCTATTCCAATGCTATAAAACAAAGCAAAACAGTTGTTTAGAGTATCATCAACGATAGCGCACTTTTTATGACAGTTTCATTGATTTGCAAACTGTTCAATAAGATTATTTACCAGGTTAATGATGGAATAATTAAAAGATGTAATTTTTAAAAATATAAAAGAACTAGTCAATTCATTAAGTGTATTTAAACTAAAGAGAAATTAAAACCATAACATTTCTAGGAAACATTGAACTGAAATAGTATAGCTAATATGTTTATTGTACAATAAAATAAATGATTATAATGAAATTTCCCATTCAGATATTTAATAAAAGGATAAACCTATTAAAGTAATACCAATCACTAAAGCCATAATATTGTTATTTATTTATTCATTTATTCATATCTTAGGATAATTATCACTTTGTTCAATTGTTTTGTTAACTATTCATAATTATTTTCATAAACAGGTGAAATTGTAATGCAGTTTAATATATTACTACATGGTTGATATATTTTACGATCATTAATATTATTATTATTATTATTATTATTATTATTGCTATTACTAAATATAACTATATTACAATATTTGAAATCATGAGTCAATTGAAGCTAGACCACTATGGAAAACCTGGAAGCACTGGACGACCGTTTCGTTCTAGTATGGGACTCCTCAGCAGTGCGCATACACGACCCCCCCCCGCGAGATTTGAACCCAGAATCTATTAGTCTCGCGTGTGAGCGCTTAACTATATTAGTGTATAGACCTAATGAAAGACTAGTTGAAAAGAAATATTTCTTTGTCCTATTCGTCTGTTTTAATAAATGATGAACCAAGGTCAAAAATTAAGGTTACACAGTAGTAATTACTTTGGCTTATTATAATACACATAAACGAGAATTAGATAAAAGCAATAAATAAACAAACCAGTAACATAAAAAAGATATAAATATTACAAGAAAACAAGTAATAAATGTAAAAATCAGTACTTAATACTAGTAATAATAATTTATATATTCTGCAAATAATAATTACAGAATTCACGCCAGTTTACAGGCATGATCAATTTGACATAAATAGTAACATACTATCGCCTCTAGTTGAGGTACGAAACCACTGTGACCAGAAGTGCATGTTAATGGTTGCCGAGACCTTATCATTACATGACTGACAACTACCGGTACTCCAGCTAATCCCAGGATAATTGAAACCCCCAGTGATAACCTTAGCATTAAAGTTTAAAGCAGATGCATGTATGAATGCATTGATAATAAGATCATTCCCATTAATCGAACTATCAGGGGCTCTGTATATATATCCAAGGAGTAGACTATGACTCACAGTGTCGACTAATATCCAGACTGATTCTAGTAAACTATTCAGGACACTATCTTCAACTTTATTAGTTGTTAGAGTATCAAAAGCATATACAATACAACCACCTCCTCTCTTAGTTTCTGTCACAGAGATAGAGTCTATAGTTCTGGATATTTAATTCTGAATCAGATACTGCTTGAGAGCACCATGTTTCAGTGATAAATATGAAATATGGCTTGACTAGGAAAGCTAGTGTTCTCAAGGCTGAAATTTTGTTCAGAGGTGAACGTGAATTGATAAGTAATAAGTTGAAAAAGGAAGTATCGTGACTCAACTTTAGAACGCATGTCGTTTAGTTGCTTAAAAATAGTGTTTAATTCACTCTTGATATTATCGATACTTTTTTATCTTGAGGTGGAATTCATTATTAAATTAGAGACAGAGTCATCCAGCAGCAGGTGTGATGTAAGACCACTCCCAACATTATCAGATTCCAAAGGAGTAGCAGAGCACGGGGAATAGGTAATAACAGAATTGTTGTTATCTGAAGAATTAGGGCTTTTCCGGGATCGTTTTTTTGACAGTCGACCCATATCGCTTTAAGTATAAATTCTAAAGCTATTTATGAGTTATAAACTAGGATTCAACGATATTCAAACAATATATATTAGATACTGTGTTATCGTAACGCAAACTTCAAACGTACCGAAATTCTTAAGATAACCATTGGTGAACTGAAAGGGTATTGATTGAAACGGCTTAGGTGTTCAAGTTATTGGCTTTCAATCAGTGA